CTTTTACATCCAATATACAATCCAAAAATTTTTTCTGTATTGGTACCGATATCTGAAACCAGTATCATAATAGTAATGTATGATATAACTGAATTATAACTGAAATTTCAGCTTTAAGAGTTTCACATAATATGGATACTCTTATAGATAATAGCTGAACACTAACTATCCCATCCAATCACTTTCTCTGTGAATTGCGTAGACTACCACAAAATACTGGCGCAACTTTGCACTATTGGCCTTCTGTTATCAGTTCATCTATGTATGGCATCTAAGTCCATATCTAATAAACCATAAAAATAGCGACAAACCCTGTGATAAGACTCAAGTGTTTACATCGGAGGGCAGCGTGGCTTAAGAGCAGGAGCCTGTGCAGCTGCAGTACGTCCCACTAATCCATCATGATCCCTCACCCCGGCTCCACACACAAAAGACCCAGGGACAGGCAGAGTTCAAGAGACCAGAGGGACAAATGAGACAACAGGCCAAGACCCTTCCACATACTTACAATTAGGACTGCACAATACGTCGTCAGTTTATTGTTACTGAGGATTGATAAATGCGGTTGCCATATTGGAAAGCAACAGTTGGGATGATTTGTCCAATTAGAGTCATTGTGCAAGCAAGGAATAATATACTGGTCTTTTTAAGATGCATTCACCCTAGAGACTGTGTAAAGAAGTGGACTAAGGAAGTGTGATGTCACCCATAGCGTTCAGCTCCAGTCAAATGAAGCTCACGAGGCTAGCTGTTATAGGAGACCCATACTTGGATTAAGAATTTATCAATGGACAAAATAGCAAAATAAAAACCCCAGGATCATATAGAGCGGTTTAACACAAGCAATTTAAGAGCAAAATGACGAGGCTCGCTGCAGCAGTTACAGAGAAAGGAGTGACGATTTTTTAATGCTAACTGGAGCCAGAGTCGATGGCGTAGAAAGCGCGCCCATGCTCACAGTCTATGGTCCACCCTTGGTCCTGGTTTTGCCCTGATCCATGTCCCGTTTAGTCCTGGTGTAGACTTGGTTTGTAATCCTAGTTAAGTCCTGTTCTAGTCCACGTTTAGCCCCCTCTCAGTCCCAGTTTAGTTACGATGTGGTGTAAGTGTGAACACAGCTTTAGTTTGGACATGGTTCAGACCAGGATTAGCTCAATCAAATCTGGTTTAGATCTGGTTTGGTCATAATGCCGGTCATAAACAAAATCAGGATTATTAGTTTGACTTTATTTAGTCATTACAACAAATATAAATAATCAGATTTTGAACATAAACTTTTAATCATTTCTAACAAACAGAGGATTGGTCCCATGTTACACAGAACTGATAATTAAACTAAATTGAGCATTAAATTAGAATGTTGTTTACTCCACAAAAACATACCCAGAGTTTTGTTTTGTTTCAGTCAAACATGTCTGAGTAACCCTTTGTTATTAGTCTGTCTACATCTCCGAATCTTAAAATGCTCTGTTCCACCTCGTGATGTCATAAAGTGCTAGTTTTCAAGTTAACAGCTACCTTTCACCTTTTGTTCAGTAGAAATGGGCAATTCCAGGTCTGAAAATATCCAAATGATTATAGAGAAGATACTCATGACATCACAAGGTGGAACAGAGTGTTTTCTGTTTGAGAAAGGAACTCATCTTAAATATGCAGGTTTGTGTGTTAAACATGTGTGAATTAAACAAAAGGTTAATGATTAAGTCCTGTTCTAATCCACATTTAGTCCCCTTCATCAGTCCCAGTTTAGTTATGATATGGAGTAAGTGTGAACACAGCCTTAGTTTAGACCTGGAGCTGGTTGAGACCGGGACTAGCTCAATCAAATCTGGTTTAGATCTGATTTGGTCATAGTGCAGCTCATAAACACAATCAGGATTATCGGTTTGATTTTATTATGTCATCTAAACAAATACAAATACTCTGAATTTAAACATAAACTTCTAATCATTTCTAACACAAATAATAGTCTAATTTCTTCCTCCCAAGTCTGAACTCCACTCCAAAAGACATGCTTTTTACTGACAGAGGATTGGCTGTGGACCTCTTGATTTAAAAGATCCAAGCATATCATTGACTATTAGAAATGGCTGACTCCTGATTCAAATGTGATGAATTACACGGTCCTAATTATGCCTATTTTACTACTAGCTCAAAAAGACTATTACATTTGCAATCTTAAAGGGCCCATACTAAATTATTTTCTGATCTGTATTATAACGCAGTTTCCTCATCAAAAACACACCTGGAGTTGTGTTTGTTTCATCGTTTAACACACAAATCCTATATATTTGGCTGACTTCTTCTCTCAAACAGAAAACACTCTATTCCACCTTGTGATGTCATGTGGCAATACAGGAAGTGCTCCACTGTGTTTTTAAACTTCATACATCTTAAATAAAACCATGATGATTTCAGCCCTGCAATTTCCAGGAGGAGCCGACATCACAAGGTGCAACAGAGCATGTTGAGCTTTGGAGATATCAACAGACTAATAATAAAGAAACATATGAAAATGAAACAAAACACAACTCCAGCTATATTTTTGATGATGTAACAGCATTTTAACATGCCTTAAAGTTTACAAGAATGAAGAACCTACTGCAGTCTTTGGACAATCAAGCACAGAACATGATAGTGCAATCTAGAAAAAGCAACACATTGTTTTTCAGAAAGTGGCAGAGAGGGGTACACCTTATCACTCTGTAAAAACATTGCTAAAGTGAAAATGTCACAGTGCCCATAATGTATCGATTCAGTTTCTGGGTAAAAGATTGCGTGAGCAGTTTGGCTTGGCTTGGCTTGGCATGTCGTGACAGAGTACATCTACTTCCTCTGTTTACATTACCTAACACTTTATTAACAATAGAGGTCTCTAATAACACATAATAAGGAGGGACTGCAAACCAAACAAACTTTTTCAAAACTTTTTTTCTTTATTTTACTTAGCAGGCAATGTTTTCAGAATGCATTGGTATTGCATTGTCATTTCTCAGGTTTTAATCTGTACAAGCGATAAAGTTATGACAGAGGAGACGAAGAAGAGATTTGGAGCAACAAACACTGTATTTGCCTTATATTTTGATAGTAGAGTAATTAATTTGGATTTGCAAAAAACAGAATTAGTTACTAGTTTTACAAATCTTTTATAGGCAAGTGATTAAAGTCAACAATTTACATTTTAAGTATCATTATATTTTATACATTTCTATAAAAACAGTGTCAATGTTCTTTGATTTTTTACTCTCTCATATGCTGGGTTCACACTTATAGTAGTTTGGTCCTGTTTTTTTCATGGTTTAGTCCTGATGTAGACTTGGTCTGGTTTTGGTTTAGTCCCAACTTTGATGTGGTGCATGTGTGAACAAAGATTCCATTATTAAATCAGTAAAAATAAACCACAGTACTATAACAAAGAGAAATTTAAGCTCACACTCCTTTCAAAAGATGACTTCATAAACATTTAGTATAACAATAGATTTGAATACTGCACTTAGGCTTGTCCTTTAGTAAACTTAAAGTCTCACTTATTTGTTTGCTCTCACTGCCAGAGAAACAGTAATTACAATAGCCCTCATATATTTCAGCTATTAACTCGCTGTGTGGTGACTGGCATGTGTGGTTTATGATTAACCCAAGAGTTGTGAAATCCACCTGAATAGTTTCTTCACGGGGAAATCATCAACTCTTTACCACTCCTATACTGCAACATGTGCCAACTTTACACACACACTAACTGTATATTGTCAGTATGATTCAAGCTGTGATGAAAAGCCCTTTGTAATGGCAAGGGCAAAAAAAAAAAAAAAAAACAAAACAAGTTGGATTCGTGATTTTTAAATGCTTGGAGTAATCACATGATTTATAATAAGCCCATGTTGTTAGTATTAGTGAGGGACAGGTATGTACAAACTTGTCACAGCTATGAAACTGAAAAAAGTAGTGTTTAGTCATTCAATACAAAAAGTATGTGTAGCTGACATTTTGAAACTCTCAGTTAGTTTTTACTTTTTCGTGACCTAGTGATAAGTAAGTACAGCATGTGAAAGTGGAAAGCCTTATTTAATGAAGTTGTTAAAACTCAAAAAGCACATGGATGGAAAATCAATGTGCTTTGGTTGTTATTCAATCATTTCAATCCTAATTCAAAACTGTGCTACTGAAAAAGTGTAAACAACATAAAAAGAAGGTGAAAGCAGAACTGCATTAAGATACAATGTCATAAATCAACCTAATCTTACTTGAGCACATCTCAAAACTTGCAGGTCATGTCACTTTTAAAGGAATGTAGGCTATAAGTAATTTATATGAGGCCCTTTGGTGGTAATGCAGTAGGCTACAATCTTTTAATGTTGTTCAAAATTACAATCTTTATATAGGTCATATATGGGGTATTGCTTAACTTTTGAAACATATAGTACACGTGTAACAAGGCATACTTTCCCATGATCAGTCAGTATTCTCAGAGTCAAAGTTAACAATTACATGCTCAGTTAGAGGCTTGTTAACTTGTTGCAGCCAAGAGAAAATTGGCAAACTTTCCAGGTAGATTCTAGTTGTTGTTGCAATTGCTGCATATACATTCAATAAAACCGATCCACCTCATTAAGAAAAGTATGCAGTTGTATTTATCATTCAGCATTTGAATCTTAATTTCCTCTAAATTGTTTTGGACAGGAGCACTCACTGGCCCCATGTGGCCCGGGGTTATACAATGACCATGCTTAATGTTATTGGACTAACTCAGTTAAACTTAAACAGCTTCTATAGGGAAAAAAAAACACAAGATCCCACGGTAATAGTCTGTTGTAGAGTCCCAAAGTTAACTAAACGGACCAGCTCATCTCTGACATCTTCATCAGGTCCACACACTAGAGCCATGTGCGTAAAGTTCACCCCGTGCTGACCCTCCATCCCACATTCCCAAGCAACACACACAACGCCACAAAGACAAATGAGTTTCTTTTCAGTGATATTAGCGTGTATTTGTGGTTACTTACAGGTAGTAGGTGAACGCACGGAGTCCGGTGGGTACCGTGGTCAGCCCTTTCCCGGAGCAGTCGGCGCCCCCATCTTCATCGCAGCTGCACACGGGCGAGCACACGGTGGTGGTCGGCTGTCCTTGACCAGTGGCCCCCAACCGGAGAACCCCCCAAAAACACAACCAGAACAGATCCACGCGCATTTTCCCCTCGGTTGATCAGGTGCCAGTGAAATAAGGGGGCCTTTGTGCGCGGTTTAAGCTACCCTCAAGACTTCAGCTGAGGCATGGAGAGGTGAAGCCTAGCCGCCGCTTTTCAAAACACTAATAAAACGCATGCACACTTCATACGAGATCGTCTACAAAATATTCACGAATGGCGTTTGGTCGTTGCTAAAAAGTCAATAGTGTTTTCAAACGCGATGCATTCACCTCGTTTTGAAACATGTCTCAGCCCCGTGTGTCGTTTTAGTCCATAAAAATAAAGTAGCAGTGCTTGCGACAGGAGCCTACCTTGCGTCTTTTGCGCTTTCCCATCAAATTAGCCAGAGCAGAGCGGTGGCTGCTAACGAGTCGCTAAAAGGCTAAAGTACTGCACCGCGGAGTCTGTAGTGATCACACCGTGAAGTGGTTTCGTCCTGGTTTGTGTCCTACACGGGAGGAGAGCACCGTCAGCTTTCAGCCATTCCTCCTCTCGCCCCCTCCTCGCGCCTGACATGAACAGCGTGCACCCTACCGGACAACGTGCGGCATGGGCCCGGCGCAGCGCTCCAACCTGCTCCTCCACTCACAGTGCACTCTGCAGGTAAACAACACGCGTACGACACGAGCATGCGAGGCAAATGTTCAACAGGGGATAGAACATGAATAAATAGCTTATCCTACATATAATTATAAGATATATTTAACCACACTGTAATGAAACCTTTATAATCTCATCCAATCAAAGCCTGTAATTAGTCTGCTTTTATTTTCGGTACAAAAGTGTATAGAACATCTAATGCTGACTGTCATTGATTGATCAGCATGTTGACCCATGTAGGCCTAACTTGCGTGACAGTTAAACAGTCAAGAGTAATTGATATGGCATGCATCAGTATTTTTCATAGGCTACTTTAGTCATATTCATGAAACCCACGTACCAAAGACATACCAAGTCTTGTGTTGTTTAATGACCTTGATAGCAGGCAATAATAAGCCTAATTAGGCCAATATGATTTGTTGTGTAATATCACATCTAGGCTCAATGTTGTTTAAAGTGTATTTTTTATTTGTCCAAGTAGCCCTATGCCACAACTGTGATCATAAATATAGCCTATCACCTATCATAATAACTTTTTATTATACCATTAAAATCTTTTCATAGATAGACAGATAGATCAGATGGCAGAAATTATTCTTTGACAAGGCTCAACACATTAATCCTCAAAGTAAAACAAAAAAAAAGATTGATTATTAATATTACTGGATGGTTCCATGTTGGCAAAGTGAAGGATTGTACAGCTTGTTCAATACAACACTCCCCAGAACCAAAGGGGTTATAGCAGGCATGTCCAAACTATGGCCCGGGGGCCAAATGCGGCCCTCAGACAAATTTTTCTTGGCCCTCAGACGTCCAGGTGAATTGGCCCAAATTACCTTGCATTAATTAAAAAAAATTTATTTTTTTTTATTTTCATGTTTTTTGAAAATCTACCTTGATAAAGCCAATATTGAATATTTAGTGTGTGGTTTTAAGGATCTTAGCATGAATAAAGACTGATGGCTCATTCTAACGTGTCAAACATGCACACATTTCAATTATTCACTGTACTGAGCATCGGTCTACGGCCCTCGATCGGCCCTCTGCCTTGTCTGTGTTTAGGTATGTGGCCCTTGATGAAAAAAGTTTGGACACCCCTGGGTTATAGGGTTTCTAGCAGCGTATTTTTACTCTTACTTGAGTAATATTTTTATTGAAGTAACTGAGGTTACTCTTCCCACTGTGACAAAAGCTTTATGTTGACAGTATGAAATTATTTGAGGATTTGTTTTTCTTGCACTGCCCCTTCAGATAAGATTACATTTTTACAGAATTTTTTGCACTATTTATTGTTCTTTCAATCCAAATACAATTATAAATCAGTTGTTACGTCTCAATAGTTACTCTTTATCTTACTCTTACTTGAGACGTTGTTTTCCCAAATACTTTTTTACTTTTCTTGGAGCACTCTTTTTGTACTTTCACTGGAGTAATATTATTATTCCCATGTTAACAGAGTGGCTACCTGGCTCACACACTGTACATTTTTGTAAATTTCTGTTTTTTGGGGATTTTATCTAGCATGTAGCATGCAGGTTAAAGTAAGGAACTGTTGAACTGTGTGAAATATAAGTTTGTTTTTCCCAAATACCCGGAGACCGTGCAAGAGGCTAAGGAGCTAGGATCCTTGAGATTCTACACACTTTTTACACCATGCTGCTTTTTACTTCTTCTTCTTCAAATGTGGCAGCAAATGAGGCAGAAGACCTTCCAGAGGAAATACTCTAAGGGAATGTCCTGTTTCATCACCAGCCACAGCACCAGAGCAGAGTGAGAGTGAGGCATTTCCTGTTGTGTCCACCTGGCTCAGTTTGGACGCTGCTGTGATGCTGCAGGACACAGAAGTGGGACACTTTTGTACTGCAACTAAACCGTTTCTCTTATTTGAGTAAATTTTTTTGCTACTCCACCCACTTCTGGTCTTAAGCCATCTGCAATAACAAACAGAAATACAGACAATCCAATTTTAAGTGAAAGGCTCTATATGTAACCTTTCTGGTGGGTCGTTAGCACCTGACTGTCTCCATGTAGATGCTTCTGCTTTGTGCAGAATGTTTTTCTAGTATGGCATTAAACATATCACTCTTGCATTTATTCAGATAAAAGTAATGCTAAAAATAAATTGAAAAACATTCTCACTGTGAGCAGGCTTACCTCGCAATACATCTGACCCGTAACCTGAACAGGTGGTGTCACCTGCTTGTCACCATGAAAAGAAGTTAGTTTAATGCCATATTGACGGACATTCCAAACAAAGCAATAACAAGCAGGTGGTTGGTCCTAGGAGAAATGCCTTTAAATATTTGCATGTTGTTTTCCTCTTCATTATCCTTCTATAGTGTTTTGCTCTTGTGAAGATGTTTTGACATGTGAAAAACTTTGACACGTGTAAATTATTTAGTCAGTCCACATCTCTGTCAATCACTTGAGCTCTGGATATGTTAACATAATTAAATTCCTCTTCACACATTACTAACACTTTATTGCACCTGGCAGTTTGAGACCTCAACCGTCTGTAATGATCAGTGGAGCAGAGGTGAAAGAGCAGCCAAGCTGACAGACTCAAGGTGCTCAGGGCGTGGTATAATGTACATTCAGTTTATGGACTATACAATGCAGCTGCAGCGCATATGGGGACCAGGGGAGCAGGAGTTAGATTACAAACCGCCACTCAAGATGGGGTGCGTGGGGTATCGGACATCATAGGCCCCTGTGTCCCATTCATCACGGATCTTTTGTGAAAATGAGGGAAGACAGTAGTGCCTCTGTCCCCTTCAGGTCAGTTAGATTATTTTGCTGGTGTGTCTGTCAGTTATAAGCAGAAGACCAAGCCTGTATATATAACCTGTATGCAAGCATTATTAATATTTAAATCCAAGAGGTAACATAGTTTATAATGAGTATGAATTATTATTTGGAGCCCCATTGGGATGTTTGGCTCGATAAGGGGGGTGCAGCACTGCAGAACTTTGGATAGCTGTTGTCAGTGGTGAACCATGCCCACGGGACCCCATTATTCACAAGATTTATTTTCCTCTATGATATTACCCAGAAGTTAAACTACACTGACAATCTTAGTACTTAAAAACAAGTGTGTGCGATAGATTAGAGTGAAACAGTCTCCACACTCTTTCACATCACAAAGCATCAGCTGATCGATACAAACGCACAAGTACATAGAGAGTCAGAACACTCTCAACTGCACGCACTTCACTACCAATAACTCACTGACCGATCACTCATGCACACACCACATTTATACTAAACTAGGTGAAGTGTCTTGCCTAAGGGCATATAATTCATCTGCTTCCCCAGTATTAAATAGAATACAAACATTGTTGTTCTGTTTTTGTAGACTGATTAATTCAGAAATAGATGCTGAAGCATGTAATATAAAACAAGGTATAAAACTAAGTATGCCAAAAAAGGTACCCAGCCCTAGTTATTACTTCACAGAAAATGGAGAGCAACAGGCAGTGTGTGGCCTTTTTTTTTTTTTTCCTTACACCCTATTTTTGTACACACATTTGTATAGTAATTATTATGGCATTTGTGTGTAACACTAAGTGTAACAATACCAGATGAAGTCCATATAAACTATGAAGACTATGATGATTTTGTGCTCTATCGAATGTCCTTGTGTGGCTATATTTACTATCATATTTATATTATTTTACTTGCAGAAGTTGTTTCATAATTTAATTACTTTTCCTGGCCAAATGAATGGAGTATGTTCAGAAGGGAAACAGTACCCCACAGTGGTTAGACTTTCTCAGTGCTGCAGACTCTTGATCTGTGAGTCCCTGTGGAGGGCACCATGTACCATGTACTCCGTAACAGACAATACATTTAATTTCACTATTTCAGGTTCATCACAAAGGTTTACTGTTCAAAGTAAAAAGGCAAACAATGTTAAAATTCTTCATGTTAAGGCATTATCACGTAACAGACATTATGATGTGCTGTATTTCAGTCCTGTAACACATTTTACATTTTATTTTATATATTTTACATTTTACTTTATGATATAATTTAGAAAGTTTTAGTTCACACATTATTAATTGTAGTGATTGTAATTCATTAGAAGTTATGTCCAGACAGTTAGACAGTTAGGGTACTGACTTGAGTTGTAGTTTCCCAAAATACTTTTTTACTCTCATGTAAGTAATTTCTTGGGCCAACACTTTGCACTGCTGCTTGAGTAATAATATTTTGAAGTAACGATACTCTTAGTGTAATCTTTGGCTATACACCACCCACCTTTGTGTATGTGTTTTCTTATATGTTTTGACATGGGCCTGCCTTCACCTCTCGTCTTTCTGTGGAGGTCGTGTTACTCTTTTTAATTTTTCCCCAGATGCTTCTACTGTAGATGTGAGAAGTATTAGTCACTGTGGTGTTTGTGTGCTGTCCCCTCCACAGCCCTGACACTCAATGGAAAAGGCCAGTCGTGAGTCCGGCTCAATACTGGAGCTTGGACAGTTATTAGTGCTGAAGGGATAGGGTGACCGTAACGCTAGATGCCACTGTATATCTTCATAGCAGAATCCGCGGTCACAATGATCAGCTTCTTCTGCTCAGAATTAGTCATTTCCAGACTGTAATAAAACGCCTTTTGTCTGATGACCGCACGCGACAGGGACAAGGCAGAGTTTGAAGTCCAGAGCAGCAGAGACGGTTGTGAAATTAACCACTGAAATAAGCAGCTCAAGGTAAATAAGGCACTTGTCATTTTGTGCAGACTGTATTATGAATAACCTTGAGACATCACTGCTGTGTTTTCAGGGGGCTTTAAGGGTGTGACTTTTTGCCATTGGAGTTGCAAAATACAGCTAAACAATAACAACAAAACAAAATAAATGATTGCCCACTTCTTTTGACAAAAAATAATATTTGCATATATACTGTGTATATATGTGTGTGTGTGTATG